GCTTCTCTGATACCATAACTTGTCACGACCCCGCCCTTGGACCCTAAACCGCACGAGCCGACTACGGTAGGGAGCGGGATCGCGACGTGAGGTGGCGAACGTCACTCAGGTGGGAGTGGCTCAATTGCATGAAAAAGCGAAATCAAGAGCAAATCATGAAAGTAAAACTAAAATCTATACATAGAGACAAGTAGTACATCCAAAAGTACGGCCAAACCATTCACATTGATATCCAAAAGTTCTTACAATTTTCTTCAAGGTACTATAGGCCCAAAAATACACAAAATAAAGTCTACATCATAGTGGTAAGTCCACCCAAAACATACTATGAAAATCTTCAAAAGATGGCTCTTCACCTCCTCAAACTTCGAGCCTCAGCTACTTAAACACGGCTTACTTGCCTCCAGCATGGATACTAGCACCCTTAACTCTACAATCATGTAAATAAAAAGGAGTGAGCTAAAATCCCAGTAAGCAGATCTACACCATAGCGTCCCAACTATTTAAACAGTGATAATAGTAAGCAGTGCACACTAATTCACATAACATCAAGAGAAAGTCCCCTAGAAAGCTTTTCAGTATTCTAACAGTATAATAAGAAAAGCAATTTAATACACAGTGCATAAATTAGAAGTCACTTCCCTTTAAGCAGAACAATAAGGATAACAAATCATAGTGGCAGAAGCTAGAGAGGCCTATTCCTGAAATAGAAGTTCCATTACTCAATCTAAGCCGACTCTATAGCTTAGAACCTCTACCGCCATTCAGGATGGAAGACAATGACAAGTGGGTGTCCCACTTAATGCCCTCACGAACACACACACCCCCAGCACGCTTTGAGGTTTTTGATAGGTGGTGGCCTTGCAAGATACAACCTTCTCCTTATGCCCTTCTGACGAGAGAGTATTACTCTACCATTTGGTGACCCAATGCGTAGTGCCCATAAAGATCTGGGGGGCACGACCTACCCAAAGTTTCACATTCACATCCCGACTCCCGTCCTTTCATGGGAAGTTGTTGAAAATTAAGCATTAAAAGAATTAAAGAAAATCTAAAAAAATTAAAGAAAATCTAAGAAAATGGGGTAAAATGATGATTTTTCCCTGCACCAACAACCTAAGTAATTCCAAATCAGTCCCTGTCATGTCCGGTCAATCGTGCGAACTTTCTATGACCGATTCGGGACTTTTTCGGTTACCATCAGGCCGAAAGATTCCCGTTTCCTTGATGAGCTTGAAAAGACGGTCATTTTGGTACCAATTTAGGGCTGTGGATCTGAGTTTTGAACCATGATCACAATGTGACAAAACATGAAAAAACATGCAATCTTATATTTAAGATTCAGCCCTTTTCTTAGTATTTTTCACTGATTTCTTCATTGTAGCGTAACGAGCAAGTTATCACGATCGTTCTGCAAAAAGAACGGCTCGATTTGATGCCAGGATGACCATTTCCCAAATTGAGAAACTTTGACCGAAGTTTGGATTTCGATGGCCAGAATTGTAGCAACTTTGGACTCATCGTGCATCAAATCTGATCGTCTATCACGTGCGAGGTTCGGCTCGGATGAAGCTCTGACCTCATACTAGTAATGGGTATGGTTTGAGGTCGATCCAACACGTGAGCGTTGTGATATGGGAGTTTGATAGACGAGATGTGTGGCTGGAATATCCCTACAACTTTAGGGTTTTTTCAGTGAACTTCTCTCTTCAATTTCTCCAGGCTTGAGCCATGTCAACATGCGTGCCACATATCAAATCGACTGGGTCGATGAGACGAATGTTCTCTCAAAATCTCGGTGCAATCTGACTCGAGATCAAGAAGATATGACCTTGTGAAGTTTTCTCCTGAATTGGTGATGCACAATTTTAAGTAATGGAAACTGGTTTGCCGATGGCGCATCGTAATAGTGTACAACCTATCCATTTGGGTAAGTTGGGCATAACTTGCTCCAAAAACATCCCAACGCACCAAAAATTGGTATCTAGGGGTTTTCAACCGTTTTGAATCCAATGGCGATGGTCTGGAGACCATTTGATGCTCAAATAATGGTGCTATAGTTTAAAGCCCAGTTTCAACATGATAGCGGCAGTATTTTTCGAAACTATTTTGTCGTCTGCACTGCCTTAAACTTATCAGATTGTGATGAAACTTGACAGGTGTTCTTAGAAACCCTTAGCCACGTTATTACACGTTCTCGAGTCATTATGAGATTGTTGGAATTTTCACTTCAAATCAGTGCTTATTGTCCTACGACTTCCATATTCCACAAACATTTTGGTACTTGTGAACCTAGGTCGCGAACTACTATCTCCTTATTTGCACCGAGGATACAAGTGATGGAAAATGACCTCAAACAGTAGCACCACTATCAATAATTTAGAAATCATTGGAGGAGGGAAAATGAAGTAGCAAAGAAACTTACCAGCAAGATTGCCCAAATGGTTGGAACTACCTGCTTGGGGAAGATCCAATAGTTCTAGATGTTGTTTGATTGTGAATTGTGATCCACTAAGCAAGGAGATCCACTAAGCAAGGACAGTCGGTTAGGTGTTGATTGCACGTTGTTTGCATGAGGCTTGGGCAGCCTTTTGGGAGTGACCTTGTAACAATGGTCTTTTGTGTGGTTGTCCTTATAATAGTAATCACAATGTAGTGGTGGTCATGTGTCATCCTTCTTATTGCTAGATTGTTTGGTTGTGATGAAGGCAACAACCTCAGTGCTTGGTGCAGTAAGATGAATCTCACCGTGCCTTTCTTCTTGAAGAACAAGAGAATAAGCTTTGACAATAGGTGGTAGTGGTTCCATGAGAAGGATGTTGGCACAAACTAATTTGTAAGAGTCATTGAGACCCATTAAAGACTGAATTAAATGTTCTTGTTGGAGATAATCCGTCAAATTTTTCATAGCACCACATGAACATAGAGAGAAAGAATGGAGAGAAGATAACTCATCCCATGCATGTTTTATTTTGGTAAGGTAGTTACCAATTTTTAATTGTCCTTGTTGATAGGTAGCTAGAACTGTTTAAGTTGGAAAATGCAGGGAGCATTGCTCTGCGAAAAACAGTATCTTAGATCAGACCAAACTTCAAAAGGAGTAGTTGCATAAATGACACTCCCTCGAAGGTCTTTTGATAAGGCATTAACTATCCATGCTAATACTAGGTAATTACATATTTTCCATAACGAAAATGAAGAAGAAGAAGGCTCTGGCTTGGATAGAATTCCATCAATAAAGGCCAATTTATTCTTGGCGCTCAAGGCCATTCGCATAGCACGAGACCATGTGGAATAATTATCCTATGTGAGAGGATGAGAGACATGGACAGTCCCCGGACTGTCGGAGTGGTTTAAAAAGTATGGAGTATTGGCATCGTTGTTTGGTAAAGAAGTACTGTATGTTTAGTTGGTTATGGTGAGAGAATAAAGAGTGACTTACTGTTAAAGAAGTGGAAGCGGCTTTCAGCAATGGCTATGGACCATGTGGTGCATGATAGAGAAAGTGGCCGATGGTTCAAACTCACTTCAATGGGATGTGTGGTGCAAATGGTCCAAAGTCACTTATGCAAGGGACATGTGGTGGAAATGGGAAGCAAAGGAGAGGTAAAATAAATTGTCTTTTGGAGAGAAGAGGCTCAAAAAAACAGCAAGCATGATACCATGTCAAATTTGAAAGAGATAAAACATTTACAATGTGAAAGAGGAAGAAAACTTCCAATTGAGGTACGATATCATTTTACAAAGGTTGTTAATATAGAGGTACAACATGTGTAATCCTTTGATTGTGGGGATGATGGTCAACAATCAATCCTTGATAGTAGGGATGTAATACAAATATATTAGAAATATTTAAATTCCTAACAATAGATATGAGAGAGTTTTATTGAGTTGCATCTTTTCAAATATTGAAAGAGAAAAACTTGGAACTCAAAAAGACAATGTAAAAAAAAAAATGATAATGAGAGATTTAGAAGCAAAATAAATAAACAAATTGAAAAAGACAGATGTGAGTAATCATAATACGTAACAATTTTTTAAGATTAATACTATAGAAATATGAACTTTATAACGTGAAAAATAAAGCATTAGAGAGGGCGAGGGATAAAGGCTTACCTGTTCTCACTTGTTTTTCCTCTTTCAATGATTTTTAAGAGATTTTGTGATGAAGAGTCGAATTCCATTTTATCCCAATATAAAGAAAAAATTGTATAAGAGAGATGGGAGGGGTGTGTGATTTAGAGATGAGAGAGTTTTAAGGACTTATATCTTTTTAAATATTGAGAGAGAAAAAACATGGAATTCAAAAAGATAAATATAAAATAATAATAATAATGAGAGATTTTAAGTGTAAAATAAAAAAAAAAATTAGGAAGAGAGAAGAGAGAGGTACATTAAAAATGGGAGACTTTTAACGAGTTGCACCTTTTCAAATTTTGAGAAAAGATACATGTCAAAATAATGAGTCGATGTTCATAATTACCCTATTGCAAAGAGAGAGAGAGATGACACATGTCATAAAAATAGGGTTGGTCCTCTTTTCGCTTAAAATATAAAAAATATAGATATAAAAGATATGAGAGTACCCGCTTCTACTGTTTTCAAGAAGGACTTTTTTCTCTCTTTTTACAAAGAGTTTTCAACAAACAAAATTTTCTCTCTCTAGTAGAAGGGTACTATGGCGCTCTAGATCTTACTGTTTCGTGTATTTGTATGAGCGTTCAATATTTTGTTTCTATAAATTTAGGATAAATTTGCATGCTTCGAGAACTTTGATGCATCAAAGTATACACAATTAAGACGCTTATTCTTTGAGCAAGCAAAATTTCATTTTGAGATTACTTTGATGCTCTAGATGTAAGTAATCAATCTTTTGTTTTATGCAGCTCATATGGAAAATTTGCAAAGGGACTTGGATGCAAATTGATACACGACTAGGAGAAAATCTTGTGTTTTCACTCAAAAGGCGACTTTGATATTCTCAGTCTTGCTGTACTTCGGGGTGGTAATGGACCTGGTGGCTCGAAAGAATTACGACCGGGCCACATAACATGGCCCGAGGGCCAGGCAACTATGGCCCGAGTTTTGGACCCTGCTGGGCTTTTGCGGTGGCCGACTCAGCCCGGAGGGCGCTTGGCCCTGCTGTGGGAACTAGGGCTGGACTAGGGCCCGCCAACCGCTTGGGAGCCTCGCTGTTGCCAGGCCTAGCTGTACTAGCTTTTTTGCACATGCCACGGTGAGTGTTTCATCCTTTATTTTTTCCTAATTTGATGATAAATTTGCAACTTGGAGCCTTGGAGAGTACGTTTGAAGCTCGATTGCAAGGGTTCACTCAATACATAGAGATGGAGGAGCAGAGCCCCTTCAAAGAAGAAAATGAGTCATGGAGAGTGTTGGAGTTCTATAGCGGCATAGGAGGCATGGTATTATTTGTCCATTACCTTCTGATATTTCTCTTCCTCTCACATTTCTCTCTCTTCCTTCAAATTCCATGAACAATTTACTATTAGCTTCTTCGTTATTTTTGTTTTGCGCCATGCTCTCATGTTCTCTCTCATTCTCAGCATTTCTTTTGTTATGGAGTCTATCAGCATATGCCCATCAAATCTTTCAGGTTTTTATCTGATTGCTTAATTTCAGAACCTCACTTATCTGTGAATTTGCGAGAGTAGTTACAAGAAATTAAGTTCTGCTTGCATAGCTGTTGCTTATAATTTGACTATTGTGGGTTGCTGAATATGATGCATGGGGGACTGTGGCGGCCATATATGTGTATTATATCCTTACCCCTCTTTCTCTTTCTTTTGAGGGGGTAAGGTCTTGAGTTCTTACTTCTTCATATCTACAACCCGGTTCGGTTCATTCAATTACTATAGGGATGAACCCAATCCGGAATATGATCCATAGATGAAAATGCCCATTGAACTGATCAGATGAATCCTTCCAGTAGTATCGGCCATTTACCCCACTTCCCTCCGCATTTCATCAAGTGGTCAAGCTAGAGACATAAACAGTCAGATAATCATGAGTATGATATCCTTCTGAATGCTCCTTTTTCCTTACATAGTGGGTAAAGTTTTAACCCTTCAATGGATGTTGGAAAAATGTGTGATTGATTGTTGAGTTGGATTTTCTGAAACTTTGCTTCAATCCTCTGCTTCTATTAGATAGCTCATGCATGCTTTCTGGAATGCAATCTTTTCTTCGAAGTAGATTCAGAAGAATGAATAACTATAAGCCAATTTTTGTATCAAGTGGAAAAGACTTGGAAATGATGAGTATTTGTATGATCATGGCTGAAAATGGTATTTCAAATTTCTGTTACATAATGCCTTTAAGAAGTGTTTAAACTTGATTTTTTGATACTTGTAATGTGAGAAAGTATATTTGATTGAGGATCAATGCTTTGCTAATGGTAAGAATGCGAGCTGTTGAATCAATCCCTAAACTATGTCGTTTTGAATGGTAATATGCCAATAGTATGAGGAAGCATGACTTACTGAGTGGCCCTGTTTGATAAAGGTCAAGAGTCGTTCTCAATTTCATACTGGGCTTCAAGATGAACTAAGAAAGATTGAAGGATAGGGTTGCATCACTGGAGATCTATAGACCCAATTACTAGGGGGGGATGGGGAGGAACAGCTTATATCTCCACTAAGACCAATAGAGCCTGAACAATATTTTGAGTCATTTAGGCCTTAAGGAGGTATCTTAGCTTCCCAATGGATCTCTAATATTCTGTTGCTGGATTCAATCTAGAAGCAACAAGTAGGAGGTGTTTGTACAAGGTGTAATTGCATAGAAAAAGAAGTTTGTTTTGGTGTTGTGTGATTGTGCCTGTCAGGGCACTTCTTCTCGACCACCTAGATTATAGGTTGGGCATCTAATAACCCCTGTAGTACTTTGTCTGCAGGCATTGCGAGAACTTTCCCTCCTAGCTTCACTGTGGACTGAAAACTTGTTGATCTTGACAAATACCAATACATTAGTGCCTTAAATACCAAATTGCCAAAATTCTTTGCAAGTTTAGAGGATTTAAATACCTCTACAGTACTGCTGTTGTGTATGAAATTGTACCACAATGCAACATTTTCTAAATCTTTTTTATTGGCAGATGGTTATAGTTTTTTTTTTGCTCCTTGCTTAATGATAGAAGTTAATGGTTATTAATAGTATTAGTTAATGGCTAATAATAGTATTCGTACTCTTACTGTTACTTGATTTGTTGTTTAGAAATTGCATGGGGTTCATCATCTCATACTCTAGGATTTGTTGTTTAGAAATTGCTTCCCCAGGATTGCACTTTTTTTGGGTGGTTATCTTTGTTTTTTTCATATGTATTTCTCTTTGGCATTAATCTGTTGGAATTCAATCAGTTTTAAGTAGTGTAGCTTCCCATATTGCTCACTTTGAACGTTCAAAAAACAGAAGCCTGCAGTCTTTTTCTGAAATGACTGTTGATAATTGTTAATATTCTACAGAGATACTCACTACTGCAAGCAAAACTTCCAGCCACTATAGTGGAAGCATTTGACATTAATGACATGGCAAATGATGTGTATCAACACAATTTTGGTCATCGTCCCCATCAGGTTGCCTCTCATTCTTCACTTTACTGATTTTGCAATTTTGGCCATCATAACTGCTCCGGTTCTAGTTTACTATAACTTATGCTATTCGTTGAATCAAATTTCTTTGCGATGGCTAATAAACTCGTCATATGCAAAAGAGTATACAAGTGCTGACATAAAATTCTGAATTCCCTTTGCTCATCCTAGATTTATTCTTGTTAGCCATTCTATGACCCACAACATATGTCTCTGTGGGCATCCACCACATATGTCTCTGTGTGTACATGATTAAATTACATGTCAATATTATATTTCCCTCATTATTTTGTGTTTTGTTTGAGTGAGTGTCAGATTCGCTCGAGTTCACAAACTTCATCCTCAGTTTATGAATGGCTTTTGAGAGTTGCAGCAGCAGTCAATATTAAAATTTTCTTTTGACAACAACTTTTAGGTGGATGGTGTGGCGCATGTAGACACGACTTCAAGAATATACATTTATAATTCTCTGAAGAAGAATATTCCAATATTGAGCTTTCAAATCACTTGGTATGAATTTCGTTTGTTTACAGAGAGTTTTTTGAACATGAGCACTAGAAGAGCAAACTCAATGGGGCAATGAATGAAGGAGCATACAACAATTCTGCAATAGGTACCATTGCTACAACAAATAGGACTCCAACTGGGATGGAATTTTTATTGGAAGCTTAGGGGAATATAGCTGTTTGACTGATGGTTTGTAAGTAGAATTTTATTATGCTAAGTTGCTTATGACCAATGATACCATTTTTTGGAGGCAAATGCACCTTCTGGCTTTAGCATACGAGCCCATCTGGTATGTATCGTCTGAATGTGAATCAGTCACCCAATACTTTTAAGTTTCGCTGAGTTGATCGAACGTGTTGAGAGGACCGGTGCAAAGGGTTGAATCAAAGAAACCAAGTTTATGGATGATGAAAAGCACATTTCACTTTTGGAGCATGCAAACATGGAATGACAAGGGTGTGTTGATTTCTTTGAAAGTAAACTTGTAATTGGGTCCTTGTCAGTTTTTGAGTTCTAGGCCTAGAAGTCGAATCATTATAAAAGAAATTTTCAACATGGTGTTAGTCTGTGTGTTTTTCTCACATGTACCCATGAATGCAATAACCAATCCTTCAAAGAACACTTCATTTTTTATCAAAAGCATACATTAAGTCAAAAAGATCAGTCCAGAAAACTGTGTAAGAATATTGGATTTAATATTCATGTGAGGGTACAAACTTGAAGAATATGTTGACAGAGAGTCATAATTGTTTCTCACTCGGCCCAATGCAGATGATGGATTCTAGTGTCTATTTTGTTGCCCTAGTCCATTGGAGGCAAGTGTTCTCTTAATTGAGTGAGAAACCATCTAAAACAGAGACTGGTCACTTAAGTGGCAAGTGGCATTACCCCCCTCCCCCCCACCCCCCTCCCCAAAAAAAAAAAAATCGAGAAACAGAGGGACATAAAGTCCACAGCCTTTGAAATATTGGTTGCTTCCATTGGTTGTATAGAATTGAATGTGTAGTATAAGAGAAACCACCCTTCGAAAAATGGCGCCTCATACAATGATGCAAATTCCAAAATAATAGAAAGGAACACCAAATAACTAATGTCATTGACTTAAAAATAAAATTGGAAGCTAACAAGCCTAGCTTCAACTTAATTCAACTTGAACTCCCAATTAACCCAATTCTGAATAATAGTCAACTCTCAAAAAACCCTTTCAAGTAAACCTCTAACCCCTATTTCTAGTCCAATTTTCCCTATTTCTAGTCCAATTTTTACCTACTTTCACCCATACAATCTCTCTTTAAATTCTACATTTTAGGTCTCTTTTCTTTAGTTTCTTGGACTCCCATGTGAATCTCTTTACTTTCAATCTTCTCTCATGCTACTACCTTCCTACAACCTCTAGTTCACTTGCTCTTTTAGATAACCATGTTATTCTCTACCAAACCTTATTTTCTAGGACTGCCAACTTCCTCTCTCTAACATTTTCTCCCCAAAAAAAGAGTTCCTCTCTTTAACATTTATGGTTTGCTCGAAATTCTAGATCGTAAAGACCACGTGACGTCTTTTCCCTACCACGTGAGGTCTTTTCCCTTCGCCCTAAACTTCTCAATCAGTTGCCTAAGTAATAGAATTGCCTATTAGCCTTGATTGTTGACCTCCTTGGAATAAAACCAAATTGGTGTTCGGATACACTCATTTGATGCCCTAGTCGTTGCTTAGTCATTCTTTCTCACAACTTCATAGTATGGCTCATAAGTTTCCCGAGATAGTTTGCTCAATTCTGTATATCTCCTTTATTCTTGTAAATAGGTACCGCAATAATTTCCTCCATTCATCTGGCATTTTCTTTGTTCTCAACACCTTGTTGAACAACTTGATCAGCCAGTCAGTGCCGATCTCCTCCATGCACTTCTAAACCTCTAATGGGATACCATCTGGTCTAAATCCTTTTTTATCTTCATCCTCTGCAAAGCTTCACTTCAGATATCCTAATCCTATGAATGTATTTATGACCTCTGGCCTCGTATATGTTAACGGTTCCTTCTACTATTGTGTTCTGATTGTGTTCATTATTTAATTATTTTTGAAAATAAACTCTCCACCTCATTGACCTCTTCGTTCTTCACCAAGACCCTTTGATCCTCGCTCTTAATGCATTTAGGGTTTACTCGAAATTCTAGGTTTACTTTCACTATTCATGAATGTATGATGAACACACAATACACAGTAGTAGCAAGTTGAGTACTTTTGGAAGCCCTAAAGCACTCAATTGAATCTCATAAACGACAAAGACAGCACAAAAAGTAGGTAAAAGGAGAAATAATTATCATTCAGATGTACACGAACAAGTTTATCTTCATACTAGAACTATTGCACGGACTTCTGCAGGTTTCCTACAGCATTAGCGATGCTCGTTGACAAATTTCAGCTAGTATTCCTCTTGATTTCTCATATGTAAAGAAGGAAACATTAGCAACACTGATCTTCACAGCAAACACAGACAATAGTATTGGTTCTGTGCACTAAAGGGAAGAAAAACGAAGTGGCCATTGGTGAAATCAGCAGAGAGTACAATTAGGGTTTTTCTCTTCTCTTCCAAAGAAAGAAATAGAAGAGAATAGTTCAGATCTAACGATCTGATGACCCTAGTACCATGTCAATAATATAATATCAAAGGGATGAGAGAAAGATGGGGAGAGAGAAGTTAGAGAGTGAATGAGAAAGAAGGTGAAGGAGAAGAGAGGAGGCTGAAGGCAGTCACATTAGGGATAAATAGCCTCCACGCCCCTCTCCATCTTAGTTATAATTATAACTTGTGTACAACTCGCTAATGCCCTTGAGTATGTAAGAAAGGACAGTTAATGCCCTATTTGTCCACAAATAAGACACATAACAAAAGGAACTAATCTGAATATATTGTTAGCAGTTACTTTTGAGGACAGCATTTTTGAATCCATAATATTAATCATTTCCTTGGTTTCTATAATGTTCCTTTTCCATGAACTGAACCATTTTATGGATTCATATATTTGTTGTTTCAGTAAAAGCAGGGTATCATGAATGCATCTTCCACATTAACCATTTGATGTGCTCATGTGCTTTTGTGTTTGATGATAACAGGGTAACATTCAATGCCTCTCTGCTGTAGAGTTAGACAAATTTGCAGCACATGCATGGCTTATGTCTCCTCCATGTCAACCATACACACGACAAGGTTCATTCTTAAGATCTGTAGGTCACTTGTAGTGAGGATTTTTTAGGTTACAGTGAACTAAAGACCTCTTTTACTTTGAAGTTCCATTTAGTCCTATGTACCTTGGAATATCATAGTCCATTGTGGTCATTAACATCCGTTGTAATGATTGACGGTGATGGAGAGAGTGGTACCCAACATTGGTGGGGGCTCATGTCTTGTTCTGGTGGTTCTTCACTCTCTCTCTCACACACACTCTCTCTCTTTAACTGCCAATCACTAAATGGTGATGACTCTGGGGACTAAAGTTATCCATAGTCTATGGGACAATAGCATACTCTCCTTTCAGGTTGTTTCATTGTGCTGAATACTGCTTGTAGGTCTTCAAAAGGATGCTGATGATGCTCGGGCATCCTCTTTCCTTGAAATTCTAAAACAAATTCCACATGCATCAAAACCACCTTTCATGCTATTTGTGGAAAATGTGGTAGGATTTGAGGTCAGTAAATAGTCTTGGAAACAGTGGATTAGTTGTATGTTTTTTCTATAAAATTATAGATTCATGAAAGGGACTTAGCCTTTATGGTTTTGTAGACATCCAGAACACGAGAACACTTGATGGAAATTTTGGAGAGAACTGGATTTGTTGCTCAGGAATACATTTTGAGCCCAGTGCAGTTTGGTGTGCCATATTCTAGACCTCGATACTTCTGCCTGGTAACTATTTTCCTGCTGCAGCTGCCCTACTTCAGTTTTGTTGTGTTTCTATGCTTCTAATGTTCTAGTGGGTTTATAAATTTGTCAGATTTTATTTATTAAGTCATGCAATTAGTCTTTATTCATTTTGTTGTCAAATTAGTCTTTATTCATTTTGTTTTCAAATGCTTCTAATTTCTCAAGCCATGCAATGACTGTTGCTATAGTCTTTATTCATTTTATCTAATGCTTCTAATTTCTCAAGCCATGCAATTAGTCTTTATTCATTTTGTTTTCAAATAAGTAACAATGTTTGATATTTCTGTGGAAACCGAAGGTTGCCGAGCTGTCATGTTCATATCTGAGACTAACCTCCTGCAATGACTGTTGCTATAGGAGGTGAAATGATGATTTTTTTTTTTGGGTAAGTCAGTGGGGTAGATGAAATCATGATTATAAATGTGAGTCACGCAAAGATTGAAAGGCGAAGTATGAAATAAAATACCCGTTTATTCTGAAAATAGTCAATTATACCCCTAAAAATGATTAAAGTGTTACAGAAACTGTACAACTAGGAAAAACATATGCTTACAGGATATGATCATTAGAGTAATTTCGTTTCCACAACGCCGAAGAACGGGGCTAAGGTACAAAGTCATAACACTGAGCTGAAGCTAAGGTACGGAGTTAGCTGTGGACTAAGTCTACACTAAGGAGCACATCATCGTCAGCAGGAGAGATCGCAAAGGAATCGTGCACGCTTATCATAATCGTTTTTGGAAACGGTCAACATTTGGCTACAAAGAAAGACATTGATTAGGATAGAATGATTTCCGCGTCCTGGTTAAAGATATGCATCAATCTGCTTGTAAGCATGCATCCATGCATACATATTGTCATACATATATACGTATATATGTATTATGCCAATATCATGCCTAATTTAAGAAAGTTTGATTAAGTCTAGAGAAGTTCTTGTATGGCATCACGACTCACTGGATAAAATAGATATCTCAAGTAGTACCTTGTTGTTGCTATTATTATTCATTATTTGTCAATTTTTTTCCTCGTTTCAAAGTACTCCTTAGTCCTCTATACAATTTAGTGCTGTTTAGCCCTTTATACAGTCTTAATTGTCGGATTAGTACATACCTAAAATGTTGTAGGTTGTTTTACATATGTAAAATGTCATATATTGTCTATTTGTTGGATAAGTTAGCGATTTTTGAGAAAAAAATCATCTGAGATGCTTTTTTTTTAAGATGTAGGATATCAAATTAGTTTTGACAAGTTGATATAAAATATTTGTATTTTCCATCTTAGTGTGCCAGATGTCTCTAGAGGGGTAACTGATGATAGTTCCCTTCGCCCTAAACTGTTTTTTCTTTTAAACAATTGGAGAAATGTGGGTATTTGAAATTGCCTTATTTCATAAGCTTGCACATTGTATGAAATAAGAACAAGAAAAAGAAATAAAATCGCACATTAGGGTATTCATATTACCCGTGTTTCATATGCGAGATAAAATGAAAGTGACCTATGTTCGTGAAATATGGGTGTTTGAAATTCCCTTTATTTCAATAATTGTTAAAAGATACCCATGGAATAATGGTATTTCAAATACCTATATTTCTCTTTGCAAATAAAAAATGACGGAAATAACAAAGTCTATCAAAGACGTGTCCAAAATACCCCTGTCTCTACTGGTGCTCCTAAGTCCTAATCAATCATGATCTTGTCACTTTTTGGGGTATGTGGCCTTTAAAGGCCTTGAGAACAATGTCAAAACTATGGCCATGATGATAATATAATCTAGTGGGAGTGTGGTCCATGTGGAACTAGAGAGGCATGCCTTGTATTGCCCGTTGATTCACCCGTGTTGGGTGGTGTAGGCTTGGGAATGGAGTCCTGATGTGGAGAACCTGAAGAAACAATTGAAATCAACAAGAAAACATGTTGACACATGCAATTTGGAGAAACCCTAAGGCTTCCTTCCACCTAGGGCTCAAGCCTTAGGCTTGTTTTCCCAAGACATCTTTTTTATTTATTTATTTATTTATTTATGATAAGACGAATACTATTTCTCTTGCCCATCCAACCCCTATTTATATTGAAAATTTATTGTTTTGGACAATGTTTGTCTATACAATTAACTTTTGATCAAAAGGTCCTAACAACATCCTTGATTCCTCCAATCCCTTCATAATCTCTAACAACATCCTTGATTCCTCCAATCCCTTCATAATCTCTGCCTAAGCTAGACGGCTAACACATCCTTCATCTAATTTGGATGCATTTTTCTTCTTAGGTTGACCTAAAACCACTTTTACCCCATCTTTGATGAAGGAATAAGTGTTTTTAATCCATCAGATATGGTATACTATGTCTATCATACTGCCATGGTCTACCCAATAATAAATGACACGAATCCATAGGCTCAACATCACCCTGCACCTCATCTTTATAATGCTTTCTAATAGAAAAAGAAACTGGACAACACTTAGAAACTGTTACCTCATTTCTGTTTTTGAACCAGCTTGGTTGTATGGTTTTGGATGGCTCTTTGTCTTCAAGTTCAGCTTGTAAACCATCCTTGGCAAGTTTACCATGGGCTAGGCAAGCTAAAGTCCCTCAAGAGGGAGGCGATTCAGCAAGCAAAAATGGCGTCGACGCCATTCTGCAACACAAGTCCTTCCCCACTACAAAGAAAGGGAAGAACAAAAGGGTTCAGAGAGCCCTTTGCGGAAAAGAAAAGAATCCCTCTGCTATCAATTAAATAAGTCTTCTGTCTGCCAATCCCTCCTCTTCCCATTCTTTATGATTTCATCCTGTAACAAATTCTCATGTTGCCAAACAACCAACCAACTGCTCACATGGAAACGGCTCAAACAGCTACCCATGATGTAGCCCCTTCTTATACCATTCATCAAGAGTCCAATGTGGGTGAAGACTCTAAAAGCACCCCTTAACAATCCAATCCCTTCATAATCTCTGCCTAAGCTAGACGGCTAACACATCCTTCATAGAAATAGCAGCATTAGCCCTATCCAAAATTGGTAGTATGACCCCATTTCGAAAATGGCAGTATAAGCCCTACGACGTTGAATCCAGCATCCCTGGTTTTGCGTAGCAAGTTAGCTAAAACAAACCTTTAAAAGCTTGTTCATCGTGGCTGAATTTTGCTGCACCTAGTCGGGCCTTGAACGTGGATAATTGACTTTGCTGTTACAGGCAAATTCATCTTGTGGCAGAGTATGAACTCCGTATGAATGCTCATATCTTGTGAGGCTCCTCAATTACATTTTCTAGGCTTCTATTAACAACCTGGGATTGCTACCTTTCATCACAAACTTCAACAAATTCAAATAGAAGAGAAGAATTCAAAGAAAATAATATCTTGAGTTAAAATTAATGGAAGCTAACAAGCCCAGCTACAATGACTATTTAAATTTTAATGTAAAAAAAAGTACTATTTAAATTTTAAATAGAATTCCTAAGAACAATGTTCTGAAAAATAATAATAAACTTTGAAGAAACCCTAACGTTTATTTATAGACTTTCTTTCGATGCCTTGATCCCAATTCTATTGTAATTTGAACTGCTAATTAGATTTCAATTCGAATTTAACTCTTTTATCCTTGAGGAGGTCAAATGAGACAAATTGTCCTAGAAAAATATTTGAAAAATAACCGAAATTTGTATAGCTGTAGTTTTTTGCCTCGATATTGAAATCGCTAATACGACCCCATTATAGAAATAGCAGCATTAGCCCTATCCATAATTGCTAGTATGACCCCCATTTCGGAAATGGCAGCATAAGCCCTACGACGTTGAATCCAGCATCCCTGGTTTTGCTTAACGAATTAGGCTAAAACAAACCTTTAAAAGATTGTTCATCGGCCCTGAATTTTGCTGCACATAGTCGGCCCTTGAACGTGGATAATTGACTGCTGTTACAGGCAAATTCATTTTGTGGCAGAGTATGAACTCCGTATGAATGCTTGTCTCTTGTGAGGCTCCTCAATTACATTTTCTAGGCTTCTATTAACAACCTGGGAGTGGCTGTTGACCTGTGGATGATAAGTGCTAGTTATACTGAAGTTAGTGCCTAATTTCTTCCATACGGTTCGCTAGAAGTGACTCACAAACATTGTTTCTCGATTAGCAATAATGGTCTTAAGAACCCCATGAAACTGAACCACTTTGTTGTAGAACAAATCTATTGCATGTATCCATCAACTGTGTTTTTGCAAGGAATAAAATGTGTCATCTTCGAAAAGTAATCTACCACAACAAACATAAAATTCCAACCCCTAGTCGTGTGAGAAGTCCCAACTTGGAGTCCATGCTAACATGGGTCCAAGGGCTAGGAGGAAGTGGAAGAGGGGTTTACAATCCGATATTCTGAAGTAAGTTCTTGGCTATATGACAAACCATGTATCTCGTCACAAACCTATTGACATCTCTCTTGAGTGAAGGCCAATAATAATTTTCCTCCACCAATAAAATGGTCTTACTGGAAAATTGCCCACCAAGACCTCCGATGTACAACTCTGCAATAATCTTGATACACAAAATCCTTTAGGAATACATAAATTGGCTTCCTTCGTAAAGAAAACAATCCTATAATACATAGTTGGAAGAAGAAGCGTTGCTGCCCTTGTGAAGAATCTAAAGAAAATATGAGTCAATGGCATAGTTACCGGAATCTTTCCACCGACCTCGTGTTCCGGTTCCAAAACCCGATTCCACGTTTCTGTTAAGGAACCTCCACAGAAACCGTTTTTTGGAACCAACGAAACTCGATTCATTTATTTTGGAATCTCGATTCGACACATCTTTAGATACCATTTTTCGGAACCAAGTAAACTTGATTCCTTAATTTCAGAATCTCGATCTAGCACTTCTTTAGAAATCATTTTATCAGAACTATGGAAACTCGATTCCTTAATTTCAGAATCTCGAGCGAACACATCTTTGGAAACTTGAACCCATTAATTGTGGGTTGACGTTCCCAAATA